ATATATATATATATATATATATATATATATATATATATATATATATACACATATTACTATAATGTTGTGTACCCATGTATGAAAAGAGCTCTAGAAATAAATGCTGATAGGTAAATCAAAGAGATAAATACTCAGCTGATTCATTCATCCGTTATCTTTTACCCGATTTTTCCTTTTCGGGTTGCAGGGGTCACTGGTGCCCATATCCAGTCATCACTGTGTGAGAGGCAGGGAGGGGACACCCTGGACAGGTCTCCAGTCCATCACCGGGACACATAGAGACAAACGAGACAAACAACTACAAACTACTCTGTATGTCTGTCTCATCTAGAGACAATTTAGAGTTACCAATCAGTCTAACGTGCATGTTTCTGGTCTGTGGGATGAAACCGGAGTACCTGGAGAAAACCCACGCATCACGGAGAGAACATGCAGCTGATTAAGTTTGGTAATTAATGATGGCAATGTCTTCCAGTTTGATGTAATAATCCATCATATAGCGCCATCAGGACTTTTCTCCACAGTGGGCTGAACGAGTCTCTCAGGTTCAACAGAAACATTCAGTATTTATTCATTTGCTTCAGGAGCTGCTGCACCTGTCTTGCTGTTTCTCCAGCTCAGCTGAATCATTCTGAAGACTCGTGCAGTAATCCAGGTGAAGAACTAAAACTATGGCTCAGCATGGAGAGCAAAATGAGATATACTTTAAGAAAATCAAACCGCCACAATGAAGGTCTGTGTAATTTCAGATGCTGAATGTCTACAGAGAGCAGTGGAAGGAAGAGCTGCCTCAGATGAAGAGGAAGAGGACAGGGAGATGAAGATGTGCTGCCCCCTGGAGGGGAAAAGATCCAAGTCACATGTTTGTGGGAAGAGGTCAGCAAACATTCATCTGCTCTATTTGATGTCCACCAAACATAATTTCTGTAAGGCCCTGTCCACATAGAAACAAATATGTAACATTTTTTATTGCTTATATATAAATATACGTTTGTTTGTGCGTGCATTTTTGTTTCAGGTTACCTTGTAGGGACCAATTTTATAAAAGCCATGCATTGTGGGAACCAACTGCTCTTTATGGGGACCAAAGTCATGTCCCCATAAGGACAAGTCTCGTTGGGGCGTTAGGGGTTAGGTTTAGGACTAAGGTGTGAATTGCGGGTGGGTTAGGGATGTAATAATTTAATTAATTTATTTATTATTTTTCTTCTTTCGGCTGCTCCCTTCTTCAGGGGTCGACACAGTGAACTCACTTACACAAAGACTTGGAGATTGTTTTTACACCAGATTCCCTTCCTGACTCGACCGCAGACCACCGAGCTGCCACAGCCCTCAGTGTGGAGCAGAGAGCTGCCATGGGGCGCCCGGGGAAGTAGATGGTGGGGGTTATGGATCTTGTTCAAGTGCCCAGAGAAAAATGAGTAATGAGGGTAGATGGGTAGATGGTGGGGGTGCTTCACCTTTCCCACTCACATTTTGATGTTAACTGGTGACCTTCCGATCACAGGCTCACCTCCTCTGACCTCTGCGCCACTACCCCCCCAATTACAGTACCTATTTTATATTATATGTGTTTATATGATTGGTTGTTCTCTGTGAAATTTGATTTCACTTTCACACAGTTTTTGGGGAACAAATCTTTGTAAAGAAGGCAAAATTTTATTGACCACGACTGATTCATGACAGGGCAGCATGGTGGCGCAACTGGTGGAGCTGCTGCCTCTCAGTGAGCAGGTCCCTGGTTCAAACCCCGGTCCAGGGGCCTTTCTGGGTGGAGTTTGCATGTTCTCTCCGTGCATGCGTGGGTTTTCTCCGGGTACTCCGGTTTCCTCCCACAGACCAAAAACATGCATGTTAGGCTGATTGGTAACTCTGAATTGTCCCTAGGTGTGAGTGAGAGAATGAATGGTTGTTTGTCTCTATGTGTCCCTGTGATGGACTGGAGACCTGTCCAGGGTGTCCCCCGCCCCTCGCACAGTGATTGCTGGACATGGGCACCGGCGACCCCCGTGACCCAAAATGGAACAAGCGGGTAAAGAAAATGGATGGATGGATGATTCATGACAGAATTTATTTAGAATATAGTCATTCTCACGGTGCAGTGTTTCCCATGGGTTACTTGCCTTGGCACCGTGCTCATCTCTTCTGTGATATTGCTGATGGGGGTTGTTGAAACAAAGCCATGTCCGTGTTGCACATTGTTTGAACTGACAGTTTTTGAGTGCGGGTGGGGGTGTGTGGAGAAGGCTCACCATGAGGGATACTGAGTGCTACCTCTGTAGCTTTTTAGCTCGCACGTCTGTATTGCGCGCCACTAGCTTAGCGCTATTCAAGTGCCGGCAGTTGTCTGCGGCGTGGGTGGGGTGTGTGTGCTGGTAGACAGGGCGCTCGGTTCTGTTGACAGGGCGTGGCACCATGCTTTTATAATGGTAGGGGAAGCATTGCTGTGTTCATACAGTCTAGCTGTTGTGTAAGCTTTATATGTATGCTTCACACTGTGGTTTTGTTTCTGGGTGGTTTTCTGCATCGTGTGGAAGAACACTGTTGTAGAAACTTTGCCATATTTATGAAGATTTAAACAAATAAAAAAATGTTCATAGAAAAATATTCCTATGTGGATAAGGCCCAAGTGAAAACACAAAGGAGCCTTGACGCGTTCTGTTTTTTTCCAGATATCAGAATGACGCAGATAACCATCCTGTTTATGACAAAAGACACAGCAGCAGGGACATGTGCAGCTGGACTGGACCAAACCAGGAGAAGGCATCTGAAAACAGAGTCTCTGGGAGGGGGCAGGTGAGTGGCATGGGCTTATGGATGTTGGTCTGTTCATATTTTGACTCTTTTCAAGTCCCTTCATTTTGGCAAGAAGTTAACCCAATCTGTGTGCTGCGTTGTCATTAAAGGCCTAGCATTATTACATATCACCCACAGCCTTTAGACATAAGTCATGTAGTTGTGAGAAGACGTGAAGTCCTAGACCTCATAAATGACCTAATGGTTCATCTCTTGCCATACTCAGACCTTACCAAATGTGTCAATGCTCAGCATCTATCATGGGAATGACTCTCAGCTACTACTACACAAAATTTAGCTCAATATCTGTAAAACGGACTGAGTTGGTGCCCGTTTGGGATGGTCCAAAAGCAGTTGGCTCTGGCAGCCATCTTTTTTTAATTCAATCTTTATTTATACAGTTTAGTCTCATTGAGCCACAATGACTCATTTACAAGAGAGACCTGTTTAAACAAAGAACACAGATAAGGTACAGACAACAATAGACAATTATTTAAAAAAGCATGTAAAATGAAAGTAAATAGAAGAAATCAAATAAATTGAAACAAAAACAGCTACATTATAAAGCAATGTAAAATACTAAAGACAGGAACATGTCTGCGTTGGTTTTTGCCATGAACTTGGCAGATGTTTAAAATCCCTTAGAGAGGTCAAGGTCAAGAACTTCAGATCTTTTTGCAAGGTTTTCCAGGTTACAGGAGTGGAGTAAGAGAAGGCCCCTTTTGCCAAGTTTGGTCCACACTGAGGGTACACTGCAAGTAATTATGTCCTGAGTGTGCAAACTGTAGCTGCACTCACAAAGTGACATACAGTAAAGGAATCTATGAAGGCAACAGACCAAGAAGTGATTTAAAATCTTGAAATGAGTTGACTCCCTAAGTGCAGTATTATCATTATCCAAGTAGGGTGGATTGTTTGTGTGCCACCCCCCGCCCCCCACCTGCCCCAACAGAAGGACTCATCCTGCCATGAAGCTCAAGACATGGATTAAGTAGAACCAGACCGATATACCATACCACTTATTTTTAAAGCACTTAAAACAGCAATAAGGCCAACCAAAGTGCAGAAACAAAGTGCAACAACTGTCATTGTCAAAACTCAATGACAAAAAAGCCAGAATAGAAGACATACTGTCTTTTATTCTGGCTTTTTTTTTTGTCATTCTTATAAAGAAGTCGAAGGGAGTTTTGTTCCTTTTTTGTTTGTTTGTTTGTTTGTTTTTTCTTGTGGTTGAAGCTGATGGCCCCACCCATGTTGGGAGAGGGGCGTTCCAAATAAACCAGTTATTGTAATCTCAACAGAACTTTTAATCTCAGGACTGACCCTGAAAAGACCTGGGCTGTAGTGGATTGGCCATTTCCTGAGACCAGGAAACAATTGTAACATTTTCTGGGCTTTGCCAATTTCTACAGGCATTTTATTAAGGACTACAGCCGTGTGGCAGCACTTCTGTCTCAGCTCACCTCTACTTCTAGAGTTTTCAAGTGGAACCCCGAGGCCGACCTCACCTTTTCTAATCTTAAAAGACTGTTCTCTTCCACCCCGATCCTCTGTCATCCTGATCCTAGGGTGCAATTCATCCTGGAAGTGGATGCCTCCAACACTGGAGTGGGGGCAGTCCTGTCTCAGCGGTCACACGACAATAATAAGGTACACCCATGCACCTTTTTCTCACGCCGTCTTTCGCAGGCCGAGAGAAATTATGATGTGGGCAACAGAGAACTACTGGCGATTAAACTGGCCCTGGAGGAGTGGCGTCACTGGCTGGAAGGCACCGAGACACCGTTTCTGATCTGGACCGATCACAAGAACTTGACCTACCTTCGGGACGCTAAACGCCTCACTCCCAGGCAAGCACGTTGGTCATTATTCTTCAACCATTTTAATTATCCCCTCACTTTCAGGCCCGGATCTAAGCACATAAAACCCAACGCTCTCTCCTGTCAGTTTCCCCCCCCTGATGTTGTTGAACAGGAGGACAGCATCATTCCGGCTTCTTGTATTGTGGGGGCACTCATTTGGCCCATCGAAAAAGAGATTCGAGAGGCTCACAAGTACGAACCCGACCCTGGTTCTGGTCCACTAGGCACTCTTTTCGTCCTTTCATCTATGAGGTCTAAGGTACTGGACTGGCTACACTCAAATAAATTGTCTTGTCACCTTGGCAATTCTTGTATGCTTTCCCTAGCTAAGAACCACTTCTGGTGGTCCACCCTCTCCTCGGATGTCAAGTCCTTCGTCGCTGCTTGTTCCATGTGTGCCAGGAACAAAACCGGTAACCAACCCCTGCTGGCCTCCTTCTTCCCTTACCCACACCAAGCCGTCCCTGGTTCCACATATCAGTAGACTTCGTCACGGGTCTACCCCCTTCAGACAGTAACACCGTAATCCTCACTGTCATTGACAGATTCTCCAAGGTGGCACATTTGATCCCCCTCCGTAAACTCCCCTCCGCCTTCGAAACAGCTCTTACTCTTGTCCAACATGTATTCAGGATCCATGGTATCCCCTCTGGTGTGGTCTCAGATCGGGGATCACAATTTATTTCTCAGGTTTGGTATTGTTTCTGCAAGACATTGGGGGCTTCATCCAGCCTTACTTCAGGGTACCACCCCCAGTCTGATGGCCAGACCGAAAGAGCTAACCAGGAACTTGAGGCCACACTCCAGTGCGTGGTGGAGAGGAACCCATCTGCCTGGAGCAAACACCTGATCTGGGTCGAGTATGCCCATAACTCCCACAAGTCGGCAGCAATAGGTATGTCCCCATTTGAGGCTTCCCTCGCTTATCTTCCCCCCTTGTTTCCCAGCCAGGAGAACGATACCACGGTGCCCTCAGTACAACACCACTTCCATTGCTGCCACCGTGTCTGGCATCAAACCAAGGCTGCCCTGCTCCGCACTGCGGCGCAAACAAAGAAGTACACCGACCACCACCGATCTGCCGCACCTTCTTACCAGGTCGGCCAAAGGGTTTGGCTTTCTACCCGTAATATTTCCTTGAAGGACACTCCTAGGAAGCTGGACCCCTGCTTCATCAGTCCTTTCCCAGTTCTCAAGATCATCAACCCCTCGGTAGTCAAACTTCAGCTCCCTGCGTCCCTGAAGATCCACCCCACCTTCCACGTATTGCAAATTAAACCTGTTGCCATTAGCCCTCTGTGCCCACCCTCCGACCTCCCTCCCCCTGCCCGACTGATAGACAACCACCCTGCCTTTATGGTAAGGTCCATTCTGGACGTCCGGTGTCGGGGTAGGGGCTTCCAATACCTGGTTGACTGGGAGGGTTACGGGCCATAGGGACGTTCCTGGATTCCCTGTTCCTTCATCCTGGACCCGAGTCTCATCTCAACCTTTTTCAGGCTGCACCCCGAAAAACACCTCGGGTCACCGAGAGACGATTCTTTGGGGGAGGGGGTTACTGTGATGAGTATCACCTGCTACAGCTATTTCCTCTCCAACATGGCCGCCAATCAGCACACCTGAGGATCGTCATCTTGATGAGGCTCCTGACTACTGCAGCAAGATGTTACTCGTTGCCGGAGCATTTGCCACTGATGCTTACCTGCCTCTGTGGATCCCCTCATGCCTTGGTCTTCCTCTGGTTCCGCGCCTTGGTCCCCGTCGTGCCTTGGTTTTCCTCTGGTTCTGTGCCTTGGTCTCCCCCATGCCTTGGTTCCCCTCTGCTCCTCTCTCGGTCCCTCGTGCTTTGCCTTCCATTCACATCCCTCCTTGCCTTTTCATCTGAAATCCGCCTTTGTCCCCCTTTGACCATCATCTGGACTGTAAAACAGATTTGCTGGATTAACATAATCTCCTCATTTACCCAGCCAGAAACCTCTGACCTTCTCCTTCCTTCTCAGGGTCCCAGCTGGTCATCCTTTTCACTGTAAATAATAAACACTGTCAATTTGTACTCCTGAGTTGTACCGCTCTGGGTTCCTCGAGTCGTAACAAAGTGGGTAAAGATAATGGATGGATGGAAGTTATAAAACTATTAAAACTGTTGTTCTGAGCAAAGCGTAAATTTATTTTTTTGTCTTGTTGACCACCCATCCAATAAACCTATGAATACACTGAAATGAATCAGTATTAATTGTACACCCAATAATTACTTTTCAGTACAATTTGTCCATTGGATTCTAAAATATGGTAACAGATACACAGACGGACAGACCACTACACACCAAACTTTATACAGATTGTGCCTTTTGGCAACAGGAGGTAACCATATGCTTCTCCCCAGAGACCTCAGGAAAAGGAGGACAGAATGATGCTTCAGAAGACAGAGAAGAGACGTCTGTCTATGCTGGAGGACAAACTCAAAGATTCACTCTCATTGCTACTGCAGCTACGGACTAAGGTACACACAGTTTTTTGGTGTATACACTATGTATGTGTGTATACAGGATTTATGTAGGTGTATACAAGGGCGTCAGAAGCATCCGTAATGTGGGGGGGACACAATGATGTGTGTAGATGTATGTGTGTGTGTGCATGCGCGCGTGCATGTGTGTGCATGCGTAAAAAAAGGTGTTCACCAGTGTACAAAAAGCAACATATCACCTTGATTTCCTTTAATTCCACACATTTAAAACATGTTTCTCACCAAGTTTGTGTAAATTCATCTGGGGGTTTTAAAGACATTTTAACTTTAATACACTTTAACACAGAGCGTCAGGTCGGCACTATTTGTGTTTATAGAGAAATAAAAAACGTCACCACTGGACATTTTTACTTGTGTTCAACACGACTCCTCTAAATGATGTTTCTCATGAAGCTTGAGGACAATAAGGTGTGGGGGTTTTAAAGACATTTCAACTTTAATGCACCTGAACACACAGAGTCTCTTACACCTGCAGCGTCTCACAGCGTCACAGTCACTGCTGAGATAAGATGCTACAGACGCAGCGCTCCTCTCAAGCATCCTCCTAACATGAAAATATGTTGATGATCAACTCTCTGGTCAACTACTGCCCACACAAAGCTCGCTAAACTGGCGAGCGAGTAACACAGAGGTGTCTCCATCTCCTCCACCTGTGCGCGTTTTATGCCGAGACAGGAGGAGACGCACAGAAACACTGCAGGTGTTACACCATATTCTGTGACCACCGTATACTGTGACCATGGCAACAGGCTGCTGTGTTTAGAGTTGTAGGTAATCAGGAACATCTGGAGTGGAGTTTTAGTGACCCGAATATTCTCCTATTAATTAAGTGGAATGGATTTGTTCACAAAGAAAGAGAAACTGCACAGACTGAACTAATGTTTTATAGTAAAAGTGGGGGTGTCCAAATTAACGTTTTTTTAATGTGGGGGGGACTTGTCCCCTTCACATATAATGGTTGCAATGTTTATGGGTGTATATACAGTATTTTTGTGTATATAATGTATGTAAATGGTAAATCGACTGTACTTATATAGCCCCGTTCTATTTGATCAAGATACTCGAAGCTCTTTCCAACAATCTGTGCCTCATTTACCCATTCATACAGCTCTATACTAGATCTCTACAAAGCTAATTGAACAAATCATTCTAAAGAGACTAATCAGAGCTTTATCACATTCATACACTGATGGGACACACATCAGAGGCAACGAGGGGTTCAGTGTCTTGCCCAGGGACACTTCTGCATGTGAGTACAGGTGGATTTGAACCCCCAACTCTAGTATTGGAGGACGACTGCTCTAACCACTCAGCCACAGTCGCCCCATGTATGTGTCTATACAAAATGTGTGTATACAGAACTAATGTGTGTGTACAGTATGTATGTATGGGCAACATTGGTGTATACTGTTTGTGTGTATGTGTTTACAGTCTATGTGTATTTATGTATGTGTAGACATGGTTTTAGTGTATATAGTAATCCCTCGCTACTTCACGTTTCGTTTATCGCTGGTTCGCTATATCGTTGATTTTCCAAGTAAGATTTGAAATGACACAATTGGCTGATTGATGGATGGTTCATGGGTTGTTTATTTAAAATAAATTATTTTAAATGATTTTGCACATGGGCAATGGGCATGGGCATGCACGGTGGTGCAACTGGTAGAGCTGCTGCCTCTCAGCAAGCAGGTCCCTGGTTCAAATCCCGGTCCAGGGGCCTTTCTGGGTGGAGTTTGCATGTTCTCTCCGTGCATGTGTGTGTTTTCTCCGGGTACTCCGGTTTCCTCCCACAGACCAAAAACATGCATGTTAGGCTGATTGGTAACTCTAAATTGTCCCTAGGTGTGAGTGAGAGAGTGAATGGTTGTTTGTCTCGTTTGTCTCTATGTGTCCCTGTGATGGACTGGAGACCCGTCCAGGGTGTACCCCGCCCCTCGCACAGTGATTGCTGGACATGGACACCGGCGACCCCCGTGACCCAAAATGGAAAAAGCGGGTATAGATAATGGATGGAAGGATGGAAGGATGGATGGATGGATGGATGGATTTTGCACATGTATGAAGCCCACAAGTGAAGGGAAAGCTCCCTCCTGCAGCTGATCAGCTGATTTCCTTCTCTGCCATGCACACACATTTCTCCTGCTGCGGATTTGTGAAGGGAAAGCCCTTTGTTGTCCAGATTCACTGATCGACTTTTGTCTTCCAACTTAAAATTCAAAATATGTCACATCATAAAAATCATCATAATCATAAAATGGAAAAGTGTTAAAAGTTATTTTTAATTATTTTAGAACGTCTATGTTCAGTTGTTGAAGTGTAATTGATCAAGAACATTTCTGCTCTGTGCTGCAGGAAGGGTTAACCCTTTGATGTCCTGCTGCACTTCTCTTCTCTACGATTTAAATTTAAATACTGTAACATTTTAATTAAACAATCCATGCTGTATGGATTGTTTATTTAAAATGTTACAGTATTTAAATTTAAATTGTTTATTTAAGGAGGGAGATTGGGAGTAACAGGTGAGGAGTGTGATTACAGTCTGGCATGTCATGACAAAGTTTACTGAACTTGAACTGAACTTGAACTTGGACTACTGTATCTCTACTTCACGGTTTTTCCACTTATCGAGGGTGGGCGTGGTCTCAAACACTCACAATAAAAAAGGGACTAGGGTACACAATCTATGTGTGTATATACAGACCCTTTCCAAAAAATTTGAATATCATGGAAAAGTTGTTTAACTTCCATAATTCCATTCAAAAAGTTAATCTTTAATAGATGATAGATTCAGTGCCTGCAATTTAAACAATTTCAAATATTGTTGTTATTTTTACATAATTTGGGCTTCCATCTCATGAAACCCACGAAAACAGGAATTCAAAAATTAGAATACTGTGAAGGAATCAGGCCAGATGTTGCAGGACATGAATGTTTTAAACTGAGTGTGACACTAATCATCTACTAAACTCAAAGCACCTGCACAGGTTTTCCCAGGTGTCATTAAATTACTTCAGTTTGGTTCAATTGTCTCAGTTTAGTTCAATATAAAGAAGACTGCAGACATAACAACTGGCCAGAAGACCATCATTGATGCCCTCCATAGGATGGGTAAGCCACAAAAGTTCATAGCTAAGGAGGCTGGCTGTTCATAGAGTGCTGTGTCCAAACATATCAATGGAAAGTCTAGTGGAAGGGCAAAATGTGGCAGGAGAAGATGCACCATCAAAAGAGATGACCGTGAGCTTCAGTGGATCATCAAACAGAGAAGATCCAGAATCTGGAAGCGATCCAGAAAGAGTGGAATGGGGCGGGAGTCACAGCTTCAAAAACCACCACATTCAGACACATATGTCTCCCGGATGGGCTACAACTGTTGGGTTCCTAGGGTCAAGCCACTTCTGAACCTGAGCCAACATAGAAAGCATCTCAACTGGGCCAAGAAGAAGAAAGGCTGGACCATTGGCCAGTGGTCCAAGGTCCTCTTTGCCAATGAAAGTAAAGTGTGCCTTTCATTCGAAAATCAAGGTCCAAGGGTTTGGAAGAAGGGTAAGGAACAGAACCCATACTGGTTGAGGTCCAGTGTGAAATATCCACAGTCAGTCATGATTTGGGGTGCAATGTCCAGTGCAGGTGTTGGTAAACTCTGCTTTCTTAAATCCAAGGTCACAGCAACAGTCTACCAGAATGTTTTAGAGGACTTTATGATTCCTTCTGCTGAGGATCTGTATGGAGATGCAGATTTCATTTTCCAGCAGGACCTGGCCCCTGCCCATGCCATCAGAAGCACTAAAACCTGGTTTGATGCCCATGCCATCACAGTGCTTGACTGGTCAGCCAACTGGCCGGACCTAAACCCCATTGAGAATCTATGGGGTCTTCTCAAGAGGAACATGAGGAGCACCAGACCCAACAACAAAGAAGAGCTGACAGCAAGCATCAAGGAAATCTGGGCTTCCATAACTCCCAGGCAATGCAACAGGCTGATTGCCTCAATGCCACGTCACATTGAGGCAGAGATTAAGGCAAAGGCATTCACAACCAAGTATTGAAGATTGACATATCGTTTTGAAAGTACCATATTTTGATTGATTTGTTGTGATCCTAATTTCTTTCTTTTTTTTTCCTGCAAAAACTGAGAAGTAGTGTGAACTGATTTCTTCACAATATTCTAATTTTTTGAATTCCTGTTTTCATGGGTTTCATGAGCTGGAAGCCCAAATTATGTAAAAATAAACAAATAAATACTTGAAATCGTTGAAATTGCGAGTCCTGAATCTATCATCTATTATAGTTTAACTTTTTGAATGGAATTATGGAAGTTAAACAACTTTTCCATGATATTCTAATTTTTTGGAAAGAGTCTGTAGTATGTGTGTAAACTGTGTTTATACAGAAATTGTGTGAATGCTGTTAAGCATTCAATTCAATTCAGTTTATTTATATACCGCCCATTCACAACAAAGGTGTCTCAGGTAATTTTCACACCTGATAGTCCGATAGACTTGGTTCGACTGGGAACCAAAATTCGGAACATTTGTTTATATTTTCAGCTGATGAGGTTCGCATTCACATTGCACTGAGTCAGTCGAGCCAACCTGTTCTCCCCCTTGCCTGTGGTGGCGCTGCACCAAAAACTACTGAAGGAAACAACACAAAAACCTCTGAAGAGACACTTCTTCTAGAAATAAACACAAAAATGGAGTGGCGTCAAATTTGAGCAGTTTTAGGAGTTCTGTTTTGTCATTTTTCAACAATGGTCTCAGCATGAGTGGAAGATGAGGCAGAAGACCATGAAGAATGTTGTTTTTCATACAAGGTGGCTGAGACGGCTCCATATGAGGCATGAGAAATGTGTGTTTGTTTAGGATGGACTTTGTAATAAAAACACAACAAGGGTTAATTTTACTGCAATTACTTTATTTAGTAAATTATTCAGTCTCTAAGTATAAAAATAAAAACAAATAAAAATTAACCTTCTGTTATTTAGATTGAAAAAGTCTTCACAAAATATAGAAAAACAAAATCCACCACAAAAACTAAAGTGCAGGTGCAGTTCCCCCCCAAAAAATTAAATAAAATGAAAGTTTGAAATCTATTGAGCATAAATGTAATACAACAAAAACTATGTTGCCTTTAAATGAGGTAAAACTTTCGAAACTTGTGACAAATGCTGAAAACAAATTAAATGCTGCCTGAAAGGACTGCTGATCATTGGCAGAACAGTCATCATCCAGTTTCCTGATCCTCAAGAAAGGAAGCAGCTGGTCTCGAGGTTTGAGCTGCATAGTTTCCAGTCGCTGTTATTTCCCAGTCAGACTCAGGTAAGACTCTGTGGTCTGACGTGACCATTAATTGGTGGTCGATGCATTCAGTGTTTCCCCTACAATTATACAAGCGGAGTGCCCCGCCGCATCAACTACTGAACCGAACTGCGTGCAACCCCCACCCACCCATCAGCACTGATGTAGCTCCAAGTTAGCAGAGCGCTAACTAAAAAGCTAAAGGCAACGTCTTCCCTCACGCAACGTCTTCCCTCACGCTAACCGGCTCAAAAACTGTTGGCACAAGCAGTGCTCAGCTCAGATGTGTCTGTGTCCCCCCCATACTAAAACAGTGCACAGCTCAGATGTCTCCATTCATGCCTTCACCTTTACAACTTGAATATCGTTGCTTGACCCATGTGAGCGTAATCCGCTGCGTGGTGGGATGCCGTATTTACGCCATGAAAATAGCATATCATGATATAATGCATTTTCCATTGAGTCTGAGTGGGCCATGTTCCGCACCTCGCTTGTTGAGGTAGCTGCCTTGAGCTGTGGCTTCAAGGTCGTTGGTGCTTCTCGTGGTGGTCACCCATGAACTCGGTGGTGGACACACCAGGTTAGGGAGGCTGTCAAGCTGAAGGAGTCCTATCGGGCCTTGTTGGCCAGTGGGACGCTGGAGGCAGCTGAGGAGTACCGGAGGGCCAAGCGGTGTGCAGCCTTGGCTGTTGCTGAGGCAAAAGCTCGGATGTGGGAGGAGTTTGGTGAAACCTTGGATAGAGACTCTCGGTCGGCTCTGAGGAGATTCTGGCAAACCATCAGGCGACTGAGGAGGGGAAAGCAGCACTTTACTAACACTGTGTTCAGTGAAGGTGGGGTGCTGTTGACCTCAACCAGTGATGTTGTTGGGAGGTGGAAGGAATACTTCTCGGACCTTCTCAATCCCACCAGCACATCTTCCATGGAGGAAGCTGAGTCGGGCCACTTTGGGGTTGATCTGTCCATAACCGTGGCTGAAGTCGACGAGGTAGTTGAAAAGCTCCGAGGTGGCAGGGCTCCGGGAGTGGATGAGATTCACCCTGATTTCCTTAAGGCTCTGTATGTTGTGGGGCTGTCTTGGCTGACATGCCTTTGCAACATTGCGTGGACATCAGGGGCAGTGCCACTGGACTGGCAGACTGGGGTGGTGGTTCCCCTCTTCAAAAATGGGGACCGGAGGGTGTGCTCCAATTATAGTGGCATCACTCTCCTTAGCCTCCTTGGTAAGGTTTATTCAGGGGTATTGGAGAAACAAGTCCGATCAATGGTCAAACCTCAGATCCAGGAGGAACAATGTATGTTCCGTCCTGACCGTGGAACACTGGATCAGCTCATTACCCTCACTAGGGTCCTTGAGGGATCATGGGAGTTTGCCCATCCAGTCTACATGTGTTTTGTGGACTTGGAGAAGGCATTTGACCATGTTCCTCGGGGTACACTGCGGGGGGTGTTCCGTGAGTATGGGATTGAGGGCCCGTTGTTACGGGCTGTTCAGTCCCTATACAAGCGGTGCGAGAGTTTGGTTCGCATTGCCGGCAGTAAGTCGGACCCCTTCAGGGTGGGAGTTGGACTCCGCCAGGGCTGCCCATTGTCACCGATTCTGTTCATAACTTTTATGGACAGAGTTTCTCGGTACAGCCAGCTGGCAGAGGGTTTCCGGTTCAGTGGCCTCAGGATTCCATCTCTGCTCTTTGCAGATGATGTGGTCTTGTTGGTGTCATCTTGCCGTGATCTTCAACTCTCACTGGAGAGGTTTGCAGCCGAGTGTGAAGCGGCTGGGATGAGAATCAGCACCACCAAATCTGAGGCCATGGTCCTCAACTGGAAAAGGGTGAATTGCTGGCTTCAGGTCGAGGGTGAGGTTGTGCCTCAAGTGGAGGAGTTCAAGTATCTCGGGGTTTTGTTCACGAATGAGGGAAGAATGGAACGTGAGATTGACAGATGGATTGGTGCAGCTTCTGCAGTATTGCGGACTCTGTACCGGTCTGTAGTGGTGAAGAGAGAGCTGAGCTGTAAGGCAAAGCTCTCTGTTTACCAGTCGGTCTACGTTCCTCCCCTCACCTATGGTCATGAGCTCTGGGTAGTTTTCCCACTCTATCCCTGTCAGAAAAACAAAGAGTCACTAATCTGGGCGTGATAATGGACCCTTCCCTGAAACTTAGCAATCATGTTTACATGATTGTTAAATCATGCTTCTTCCAAATGAGGCGGCTGTCTAAACTGAAGCCCATATTGTCCAAAAAGAACCTGGAGACAGTAATACATGCATTCATTACATCTAGGCTTGATTACTGCAATTCACTCCTGTTTGGTATCATTCAGACCTCCATTGCACGACTACAACTGGTCCAGAATGCAGCAGCCAGATTTTTAACCAGTACAAGCAAAAGAGAACACATCACACCAGTTTTGGCCTCACTGCACTGGTGACCGGTTCACTTTCAAATCCAGTTCAAAATACTCCTGTATGTCTACAAATCATTGAACAGTGGGAATGCCTTGGAGTCCTCCCAGTATATAGGTTTTGTTTTTGTGCATACCTGCCTTCGAACCAGGACCAAGGTAAAAGATGACTGTCATCAGAGACTTGTTGTTTGCAAATGATGCCACAGCTGCCACCAACATGCAACAGATGGAAAGAGCAGGTTTCAAGGATTCAACAGAAGGAGCAGGTTTTGACTCTGTCTCCTGGGAAGACCTTGTGGCAGACCACTCAAAGTGGAGACTTGCCATTCACCATCACACCAGACTTCTGGAGGACAACCTTAACAATGCGGCTGAAGCAAAGCGTGCTCACAGGAAGGAGTGCAGCACCTCCACCAGGGCTGAGTCTGTGTGCAATGTCTTCAGCCATGACTGCCACGCCAGGATTGGACTTTTCAGCTGCCAGAAATGCTGTGGCAACACAGACAAAGACAGATCATGATCCCATGATTATCAAAGATTGAAGGTGGCCGACAAAAAAAATAAAAATTGCGTGTATACTGCATTTTTATGTGTATGCAATATGTATGAGTGTACAAAGTATGTATGCGTGCATACAGTATGCATGGGTGTACACAGTATTTATGTGTATGCAGTAATGTAGTGATGAGTAACAGATGGTAACTGATCATTTCTCATAACATCACACGTTTAGTGAAACAGATATAAAGAGTTTAGATTCTGAGTGGGACCCGTTTTAACCTGGGAGCGTTTTATGGTCAGACCTTTTTGTTCCAACTGAATGGTTCCACTTCACTTCAAACTCTGGATCTCTACCAGAATCATAGGAGCTCGAGGGTTCTGTTCAGTATGTTAGCTGTTTCTTCTAGACGGAGATCTCTGAGGTTGTTCCTGGGATCTGCTTGAGCCACTTCCAGTTTGAGGGTCACAGCACCGAGTGCTCCAATGAGCACTGGGACTACTGATGCTTTGATTCTCCACAGCTTCTGTATTTCCTCTTTCAGCTCTTGGTATTTCTCCAGTTTCTCTTGCTCCTTCTTCTTCAGGTCTCACAGAGTCTTAGTTAGATCAAGTCTAAAAGTAGCTAAATGCCCTCTAAAAGGTAAAACTTACAAACCAGTAGCTAAAAGTGGTGTAAGACATGAACAGAGAAAGTATACTAAAGCAAATATAAAGGAAAATATTGTTCTCTGGGGATTGGGGGTGGAGGGAGGGGCTATATTTTAAATAAAGTTAAATACATTGAAAAGTTTTTAAAAGCTCCAAAAACCACATGTGATGCAAGCACACTGTTCATCAGTGGAGCTGAAGCTTTTCATATCTTCATGGGTAAATTAACACAAAGTTTGATTTGCTTGACTTCAAACAAGACAAAGACTGGAGGCTGGAAACAAGTCACAACAAAGGTGTGTGTGTGTGTGTGTGTGTGTGTGGGGGGGGGGTGGGGGGTGGGGTCAGGTTATCATCTCTCATTAGTTTCTTGTTGTACATCTACCTTTTGCTGAACCCCAAGTCTCCCCCCCCTCCAGGGTGTGTCCCACAGGCTCCTGGAGAAGATGGTGATGGACAGTCTGGATGTCTGCAGAACATCTGGACCTGGTATGATAATCTGGGTTTCGCTTTGTTTGGGTTTTGCACTGCTTACTGGTAATCATTTCATTTCCCCATTAAGGTTCCCAGGATGGTTCTGCAGGCTGATGATGTCCTCTGCCCCCATGTGTCCTCCAGTGATCCCCCCAGAGTCAGAGAGTTGGACAACAAAATGGAGACAGTGATGTGTGTCCACCTTCAGGACATCAGTCCAGCTGTGTCAGCTCTTTGCTAACTTTCATATTTACTGACTGTTTATTCTGCTCTGGTCTGCCTATGTCCTGAAAACACCGGTGCACTGGAACTTTAAACCCATCTGCTGTTTTACGTTCATCTGTCTGAAATCCTTCATAGCGACAACTTCCAGTTTGTATTTATTCTGTATAAACAGAAAAATATTTAGGTTTTTCAATATTTATATTGAAAACAGAATTGAACATGTTTTATTCTGACAGTCTGGTCATGATTACACTTTATTTTTTATCTTTGACTCGTTCTTTTTTCTAAAGGGGGCAGGAATGGGAGTCCAATTTAAAAAGTCATCTGATTTTCTTTTGAGGACAGAAAAAAATCTACCCATGACCTGCAGCTCAAACCAGCTCTGAGTTTGAACCTGACCAGTAAAGAAGAACCAGAGGACACAAAACATTTTTATCTTAGTCTTCTAAGACTTTGTTGTTTTGGTTACCTTTATCCATCCATCCATCCATCCATCCATCCATCCATACATCCATCCATCCATCCATCCATCCATCCATCCATCCATCCATCCATCCATCCATCCATCCATCCATCCACCCATCCATCCATCCATCCA